AGCATTTTTTTTTTATTTTTCCTGCGAATTTTCCATAAAAATCTTGTTTTAATCAACATTTTTAATGGAATAAAAAGATTCAAAAAATCATTCCATAATTTATTCTTAAAGTCCATTAAAAACTGAAGAAAATGAGCCTTTAATGGATGAAATCGGTTGGAAACTGTCGAAGTTATGAATTTTTTTGTAAAATCATGGAAATTGAATGTTCCAAGATTGGCCGTTGTCCCGCTCCTAGGTTCATGCACCACTTCCAGTAGGCCTTTCTGCGGACGTGTACGCATACGGTGCATTTCACTAACACTACCAGCTGTCACGCAAAATTAAATGGGATATTTTCAACAATATAATTTACGCTAGTGTTTGTGAGACCGCTCGGCGAGAACCTAACGCAACCAACTCAATTTGACAGCTTTCTTTCTTTAACATTGCTTAACGATGTATACGACAAAACGTGAATTCAAGGGTAAAAATGATCCTCAAAAGTTTTGTTACGCGTGTGGCAACTATATATTCACAAAATCGGTCAATTTCACTGCTTCGTTGCAAACTGCATACAGGCTTTATTTTAAAATTGATCCTGGAGACTTTGACGAACCGTGGATTCCAAAAGTATTATGTAGTTCGTGCAAAACGTGCTTGGCTAGGTGGATGTTAGGCGCAAGGTAAATTGATTTTTTGAATAACTTTCATATAAACAATTTATGTACAGCATGGTAGTGCTTTGTTCTTTCTTGATCGACATTATCGTACTTCATCTATTTTTGATAAGTGTTAATGTCTTACTTACTAACTCACTTATTTGTTATCTGTCAGTCGCTATTTGTCCTTTGACATGCCCACCATATGGCGTCGACCGTTTTGTCATACAACGGATTGTTATTTCTGCTTGACAAAAGTTAAGCAACAAGGACGTCACAAAACAGTTGAGTATCCACAAGTGGCTTCTATGACAAAACCTGTTCCACATTCAAGTTCGGTCCCGTATCCTGTTTATCCAAAGCGGAAACGAGCGCCCTCTGTTGAATCGACCGTTACAAAAAGTGAGGAGGAATTCAAGGAGGAATGCGAGGAAGACTTCGAGTTGGAATTGGAAAGAAACCCAAAACTGTTTACACAGTCCGAATTTAATGATTTGGTGCGAGATCTCGACTTATCGAAGGAGAAATCCGAATTGCTGGCATCACGCTTGAAAGAACACAACATGCTGAGCAAGGAGGTCAAAATTTCTTGTCACAGGAATCGTCACAAGAAATTTGACAAATATTATTCTACAAAGGACAAGGCATGTTTTTGCCATGACGTAAACGGCTTGTTTGAAGAGTTTGGTGAGCCATATGATCCAGCTGAATGGCGTTTATTCATCGATAGCAGCAAGTTGAGCTTGAAAGCCGTTTTACTGCATCAAGGGAACGAGAAACCTTCTATTCCATTAGCTCATGCCGTTAATATGAAGGAAACGTATGAATCAATGGCTCTATTGCTCAATTTGATAAACTACAATCAACACAATTGGAAAATTTGTTCCGATCTTAAAGTGGTTGCCATGTTGACTGGATTGCAACAGGGATACACAAAATATATGTGTTTTTTGTGTAAATGGGACAGTCGAGCTCGTAAGGAACACTACGTCCGAAAAGATTGGCCAAAACGGGATAATTTCACAATTGGTAAAGACAACGTTAAAAATGATCCTCTTGTGGTAAAAGAACGCATAATACTTCCACCACTACATATAAAACTTGGGCTATTCAAAAATTTCGTCAAAGCGTTGCAAAAAGAAGGGTCGGCATTCCAGTACTTGAAATCAAGGCGAACCAGCCCAAGGCTGAAAGCCTCCCTAATAAAGATAATTACTTGAAATCAGTATTTCCAAATTTATCTGACGCAAAGATAAAGGAAGGTGTATTTGTTGGCCCACAGATCAAAAAACTGCTCAATGATTCCGCATTCAATACAGTTTTGACACCAGATGAGGAAGAAGCGTGGAAATCGTTCCAGCGTGTTGTCACAACCTTTTTAGGAAATTTCAGAAGCCCAGATTATGAGGAAGCCGTCGATGAATTGCTCAAAAATTATGAGAAAATAGGTATAAATCAAAAATATTGTGTTTGTTACATATAATTAATTCCAAATCCTTTTATTTCACTGAACACAGGTGTGAATATGTCTTTGAAGATACATTTCCTACATTCTCACATGGATTTTTTCCCGGAAAATCTTGGTGACGAGAGTGATGAGCACGGCGAACGTTTTCACCAACAAATGAAGATGATGGAACGTCGTTACCAAGAGTTTTGGGATGAAGCAATGATGGGTGACTATTGTTGGTTTCTGATTCGAGAAACAAGTTCAAAACATCGAAGACAAAGTCATTCGATTCTCAATCATTTTTAATAAAACCTAAATAAATTTCTTTTGTATCAACTCGGTTTTAAATCCTGATATGCCTTAATCAAATTGATATGTAGAGAAAAGAATCTCCCATGAAAACTTTACATGCGATTTGGATGCTTACAACGACACCTAGAAAAGGAACTCTAAAGCTGTTGTATTTCAGCAACATTTTTAAGTGTTTTACAAAAATGCTCATAACTTCGACAATTTCCAACCGATTTCATCCATTAAAGGCTCATTTTCTCCGGTTTTGAATGGACTTTAAGAATAAATTATGTAATGATTTTTTGAATCTTTTTATTCCATTAAAAATGTTGATTAAAACAAGATTTTTATGGAAAATTCGCTGGAAAAATAAAAAAAAATGCTGTAAATTTTTAAATGACTTCAAAATTAAATTTTTAATTAAGACATAATATTCTAGTGACCGATAGCAAATTTATTTAGCTTCATTTTCATAAAAAAAAGATTTAAAATTGGTGCACTAGTTCCAAAGATATTGACATTTTAGTAATCGTACTTTTGTCCAAAATTCAAAAAATCATTTTTTTTGTATATCTCAATAATGGCTCTACTTTAATTTTTTCTGACCACGGCATTGAAATCAGCGTAGGATTTTCATTGGAAATGATCATCACCTTACCGAGTTCAAAAATGCTGTAAACTAGTGTAATCCACCAATATGGATCAAAGAAACGGATAACTCTTTACCATGCTACCTAAGGTACCTGGTTAGGTAAATTGTAACATGATAGTGGATACCTGCTGATGTTTAGTACCTATTGATTAGTATATACTGCCCATAAAAGCATTACTGTCCCATATAAATAGGAAATCAAGCAAAGATGGGACAATTATGCGAGTATCGGCAGTATAACTCGTAGATAAAACATGGATTCTTCAGTGGTGTTGAGTACTTGGCACTGATGAAGCTTTCCATGCTCAGTAATGGCGGCCTGTTTATATGACTAGATGTATCCTTCACAGTGCTTTTTGACACTAACTGGGGGCGTATGTTGTTCCATTTTCTTCTGTTCCTGGGAGAGGGAAAGGGAGGGGTCAAAATCTGAACCTCGAGATAGTGTCAAAAAGCACAGTGAAGGATACATTTATTCATACAAACAGGCTGCCATTACCGAGCATGGAAAATTGGATAGCTCACTACCTTAAATCTTTGATCCTCATGCTCTCCAGTAAATGTCTGACCAGCTCGTGCGAATCATGCTACCTGGCACCGGCAAACTAAGGCCATGCAAAGGGCTCCGTCAAACTGTCCCATGCTGACTGCATGATCGTTGATCGGTCACAATTCCGTTTCGGATTCAGCCATCAGGCATTTGGATTTATCCTCTTTCGTAGGTAGGCAGTGTCAGGTACTCTGTTTTGTAGTCTGTGTGAGGGAAATCACAAATCGAGTGTCATCAAAATACATGGCATGTTGAGAGATTGAGCTCGTGAGAGCGGAATTTCTCTCTCAAATTTGAATTTTTTGGCTCTCTGCGGACTGTAAAAACGTATGGGGAAAAATATGTTTTATTTAATTGTTTGCATGGCAGATTCATGACTGAGCTCCTGCAGGGTTCATGTTTTTCATTTATTCAGAAGTATAGCTTACACAGGCTCAAAATATCAATGTTTTGTTTTGAGTAATTTTAACCCTTCGTATACCTGAGCATTCCCAGGCTTCATGATGATGGATGATATATTTAAATTTTTCCTACTTTTGAATTTAACAATCCTAGACCATGCATCTAGACAAAAAACCATTCGCTGCTTCTTCACTTGCTCAATGGTTTTTCTACTATGCCAGCGATATCCCTCACTCGGTAGCGTGATAATCAAGCTAATGTTCCATCTTCTGTTCGTGAATCGATAAGTCCCCTGTGTGAAATTGCTGGTTAGCACAATTACGCATGACATTACAACCTAAATATATTTAAAAAATACCGTTTTGATTGGTCATTCCATTCTACCATCCAGTCCCGAAAAAAAGTTCTTTATGAAACCTGGATCAACTAACAAGGGACATAGATCATCCTGTACTATTTCGTCGAAATTTTCACATGACGAGAGATCCATTTCGCATCGCTTCAATGATATTATATGCTGTAACATAAAAAAATCCCATGATCCCTTTCAATTCACATATTTTCGATAGGATATACCTTTAGGGGTCCATCAAGATCCTCGGTAATTTCAACAGTACTGTTAGCCTCTATAATATCTCCCAAAATCCGAAAGTCAAATCCGTTCAAATACATAGGATAGTCCGTATCATCACGACATCTATCGATGTAATCTAGGTAGTACACCTTCGATAACTGTGGAAGAGTTGGACATAACATTTAATTCAATCAGGTCCTTACACTTTACATACCTGGATTGTATTGCTGGAGATGATATAGTTAAACCAAACCAATAAAACCGGCCAACTCATGCTGACTTGGGTGACCATTCTGTAGCCGGTAGAAGATTGATTTAATATGCAGGAAATTGGATTTGAGGCAGCGTGGCACCAGCATATCATCATTATGTGTGTTAATGAGCCGTGTTCTGCAGAAATTAAATCCCTAAATGATTATGTTCTAATTTCTCTTCATTAGATGAGTTCGGCGATTTCGACGCTGAAACGCACACGGGAGAGTACGTGTCATCACTGAAAATAGCACTTCGGCAGTCCGAGCAGTTGGAGAAGAAAGCGATGGAGTTGCACAGGAAACGTGAGCCAGGCCTGGAAACGGTGGCGGTCTTCGACGAGTTTGTAGGAATCGCACGGAGTCTGGAAACCTATGGGATCGATCCGCATCCGGTGAAGGATCACCGGGGTACGCAACTGTATTTAGGGATTAACTTTTCCGGTATCAGTACGTTTGCCGCGGGACGAAGGGCGCAGCATTTCCGGTGGCCGGAAGTGCACAAGATTAATTTTGAAGGCAAAATGTTTATCATCCATCTTGCGTATACGGACGATCGGCGCGAAGTGGTAAGTGTTATGCGATGCGAAGTTGATTAGGATGGTATTATGATTTTTTTTGCTCTTTTATAGAAAAAGCATACGGTTGGCTTTAAATGTCCGTCTGGATCTGCTTGTCGATACGTTTGGCGATGTGCCATAGAACAAATGTTATTCTTTACGTAAGTATTGGAGACTCCAGAATACCTGGTAGATTGAATTCCATAATTGGTCCTATGATTTCTACTTTATTTTTACTAAGCATTCTAATGTGTTGGTTGTACTAAGCTGTAGTACAAATGCTGTAGAAAATGCTTGGATAATCAAACATTGCGGATTTTGTTTTTTTTTTGGTTTATTTATTTGAGACCGTATCACAACCTAGGGGCGTCTCACCTTTAAGGCCCAAGCGCAATGACAGCGGAAGCGGAACGGCAGCGGCAGCGGAAAAGTCCGATCTGAGTAAGCCTACCTGTTGGATTGAAAACTAGTTAGAATCAAATCGACTTCGGTTAGGCATCTTGATGTCATTTGTGATAACTGTCAAACTTTCCGTTTCCGTTCCGCTTCCGCCCACATTACGCTTGGGCCTTTAGAATGGCCATTGAATATGCTTTTAACTTAAAACAAATGCATGGTCAATGAGAATAGCTCAGAGGGAGAGCAACTTCTACTAAGAGATATGTTGAAATTTCTAAAAACTGCAGGATCTCAGCGTTAAAAAAATCATACAACTGAGTAGAAGTGACTCCGTCGAAATTCCGTGGCAGCATCGGAAATCTCCATAGAAATCTTGCGGAAGTTTGTCCACCGAAAACACGAAAAAATGCCGTACACAGAAAAAAGTTCTGAATTTTAACTGCGATATTGTGCTGAAGTTTACATTAAATGTAGTGCAAAATTGCGTTAAATCCAGCGTTAATAACGTGTGCGGTATATATCTCAGAAATTTACATGGATTTTTCATACGGTGTAGAAATGTCCTGGAACTTCCGTTGGCAGCACCGAAATCGTGCAGAACCTCCTCTGCTGAGAACGGGAGAAAACTTCATCGAAATTCCTTGAAACCTCCGCTGGAAACATCAGAAATCGCCACCGAAACCGTGGCCAGTGAAGAGTTTGGATGCTGCAAATGGAAGTTCTAGTACGCTCTCTTGTTTCCGGCGAAGGAGGTAGGAAATTAGATGCTGTCAACGGAAGTTCCGGAGAGTTTCGACAGAGTTTTCTCGCTTTATCAGCGGATGTGCCACACGATTTCGGTGATGATTACCGATGCAGCTGATGGAAGTTCCAGGGAATATCGACGGCGTTTTCTCGCGTTCTCGGCGGAGAAGGTTCTGCATGATTCGTCAAATCTAGATGATGCATACGAAGGTTCTTGAACTTTTTTCCTCGTCCTGATAAAGGGATCATCAGCCAGGATTACGTTTGACTAAATAAATTACATTGGGGCTACATTCCCCCCTATTCTGCGAGTCACGTGACTCGCAGAATAAGGGAGATAGAGTATACAGTATAATAGAATGAGAAAATGCGAAATTTCGATGGTGTTTTCTCGTGTTTTTGGCGGGGAGCGAAGAGCTCATGATTTCGGTGGAGATTTCCGATGCTGTTCTCGGTCTGCTGGAAAATTTTTCTCGGAGCTTTTGGAATATTTTTCTCGAGTCAGTAGTGTGAATTTGAGCAAACAGAGGCGAACATGTATGGCTTAAAATGCATTTATTTTTTTTGTTATCATAAACATATAACAACAACTGATCACGATTCAAAATTAAGCGAAAATCAGCTAATAAGTGATCCAAAATTGATTGGTCGTAGCTTTGAACACACAAGAAATTAGAGAATGATTTGAAATAATCCATCTAAAGAAAATTAATCGAAAATCTACACACTTTGAAATAACTAATTTACACAAGACGGATTTCATCTTAGAAGGAGATGAACCAGCCCAGGACTGAAAGTCTCCTTATTAAGGATACAAAAAAAAAATATCTTAGACATAAAAGATGAGATGTAAACAAACATTTCCTGTAAAATTAAGTGCTCCAAAACTGAAAAGTTCATTACTCGACGAAAAGTACGTTTGATTGAGCTGAATATCGCGTCTGTTATGATTCAATTTTATGTCAAAATTGACACTTGTCAGTCTCAGAGCACCTAAATTTACATTAATGTAAATAGCTATATAAAATATGCTCAATGATGTGAAGCATCATGAAGCTACAAAAAATGAGCATTGAAAGTTATTGTAAACCCCATGCTTGTGATAGGGTCTCGGGGGGCTGAAGCCGCTCTCTACCATACATTGCAGAACATTAGGTTCATTATTATTAAAACTAGAGTCAAGTAATTTTAGTCATTTTGTCCTTCATCTCCACTACAAAATTATAAGAATTAGATTCCACTCATATAGATAATATCTAATGATAACCAATCACCAATGATATTATAATGATAAAGACGACAATGTTCTGAAGTCATTCTCTTCATGCTTTTTCCTACCTTCAGTCTTCCAACAAGCCAACATGCATCGGTGATGTCCGGTGGTGGATTCTTCTCCTGGGGTACCAAATTCAAATATTCGGGTCGAACCGAGCGCGAAATCCTATCCGAGTCCCTCAACGCCCTCCGCCAACAGAAACTCAACAACACCAGCCCGAGCAAGAGGAAAGCACAAAGCGTTCCTGCGACTCCTTCAAGCCCTCAAGGTGATTTAGCGGAAATCCGTAAGTCCCGTAAGTAGCGCCTGGTTTGGCCAAACGAGCACTGATAGGTTCTCCTTTTTCCTTCAATTTCCCCCCAGGATACAGCAGCCTTCCACGATCGACTATGTCTGAACCGTTGGGCGGTTGTCACGACCACATGGCTTCGTCTGTCTACTGCACCGATAACCCACTGCCAACGTTGGAAACCGTATCGGAGGAAGCGCGCAAAACGAACGGTGATAGTAACGATCACCTTTCGGATTACTACTTCCGGGACTCGTTCGATCATTCCTCGTCCGAATCCGGGTTTACCAGCAATGTGATTGAAAATAGACTCGGTTCTCATCTGCACCACCGCCAAACATATACTTCCGATAATATTTCTTCACTGGCGATGCACAGCATGGCGAACAATTCCGCTCTCATTCAGCAGCAAAATGCTAGCAATAGTGCGAAAAATGCGAAAAAGTTTTCCCTCATCCAAGCCTTTGTGCCATCGTTTTTCTTTGTGGTCGCTGTGCTGGCCGTATCGGCCGTATATATCCTGGAGTCTGATTCGGAGGTATTCAGCTCGATGAAGAATTTGCCGGAGATGATTTGTTTGCGTTACCAGTATTACCAGCCGCTCAAGGAGTTCTTGGCGAAAAAGTTCGGTGCCATATTCTGATTCGTTTTGGTAAAGCCAAGCGCGGAAGGTGGAGCGGACAGGCACGGCGACGACGGATATTATCCGAGGGCAAGTAGCTACGCCGAGGGTCGGGAAATGGGTGGAAATGATAGTCATATGACCCTAACGTTGACGTTACCAATTACGAGGCAAATGTAGAAATCGTTTAAAACAAGACGAACGTTTGATTATTCACATCGAATTAATATCCTTTTGTGTATATATATATATCAGTATTGTTGAGTATGCGTATTCGCGATTGTTTCCAGTATTTTACTATGCTTTTAATTAATGGAACGGAAATGAGTTTTTCGAACCAGTGTTCATTGATGTCAGTATTTGTTATCATTTAGCTGTTTTTAGCTGTTTACACCAAAGAGCTTAGATATCCCAGCACCTTGGATTACTTCAGAGCTGCATGCAGAATGGTTCACTTAAATGTTTCAGAATTAGAAAGATATATTTTATTTCCTATGTTGCTCGTAAATGAAGACATGACTAATATGCCAGTAACAACATTCTGAATTAATAGGGGTTTGAATGTATGCAGCGATAGATAAATTAAATCACGAACATATTGTATATAAAGCAATAATGAACGATATTAAGTGCTGTTGGAAGTTGGTTTAAAATGTGGATATTAGACAATTCTTCATTTATATGGCATATTTGCCATTTCGATTTTTCAATCCGCAGCCCTAATAATTCAGTATTTCCGCAATATTTTCCACATTGTCATGGATAGAGATCTTACCTACCAAGTGATGCTGTTTTAGGCGATTTGACCTGGGTGGCAAAATAGCCGTTTCCTCGTTTATGGCCAGTATGGCAGTGATGAAACCAACATCGCGTTTATATATTACTGGTCTTCGAATTCTTCACACAGGCAGTTCTTACTATTCACTTATTCTATTTTTAAATATTGTATTACACACATTAATTAATGACTTTGCGGCGCACAGTGGGGCAGCGGAGCCATTCGTGTGGCCAAAACCTCTAGCGCCGTTGGTTTGCTTTCTACAGTAATACAATGTTCTACAAAGTTGCTCAATACTAAAAGCGCCATCTTTTGAAAGTTTCATATTAGTTCATTTTTACGCCACATAGGTGGCGCTCGAGTCTATCTTTTGAACGGAGCATCCTAGCCGAATGGTTTTTTCGGCAAAGTTGTATAATTTGAAGTGTTGAGAAATGTTGTCCAAGACATCGAAACTCTATGACTCATATAAAGTGAGTTATCGGGCAATTTGGAAAACTAACCTCAAAATTGCGTTTTTTCCTTTTTTTCACCTATATACGTCAAATGTATAAGTTTTATACTCTGATAGTTATCAAAATGGTTCGACTCATCCAATAAATACCCATTACTTTATATATCATGCCTTGTTATAAAGTTATTAACATAAATGTCTCAAAAAAGTTATGTATAAAAATGTCAATTACTCAAAATATAGCAAAAAGTAGCAGCCAGTTTTTTTTACAGTGATTAGTGTAGACCTTGCTGGATAAAATAACGACCACAGTTCAACAGGCAACTGCAGGCATTTTCATATAACATTATTTGAATATTGCATATGGTAAATTATTTAAAATTTGTTGAAATTTTGCTTTGTGTGTAAAACATGATAAGATGTTATTGATGAATGCAATAGATGCATTATTAGATTACTAGGAGACTTAAAACTGCTGGTTTAAAATGTCCATCCACCAACGTCCTCCATAGTGTCCTTTCGACTTGTTTTGCAACTGTATCGTTCCCGAAATTTTCTGAAATCTTTATTTCTGGCTTCCTGTGCCTCCTTGCTTAACATACCAATTGGAAGCAATGCAATTTGGATTGCTTGCAATCCGTGGATTAAAACCTTATGGACAGAGGCTGACATTGGATACCATTTATAAAGACTAACATAAAGACGAGCAGTTTCTTCAGCAAAATTTCGAAATGCTGTTATTTTGATCGAAAATCCGGAAGACAACGTACGAAGAATTGTATCGCATCGGTCAATTAATTTTTTATTAATACTAGTTATTGCACTTGTTTGGATTGCGTTAGTGAAGAATCTGCGTGCTTTTGTGCTTGTGTTTCTAATTGTTTGTAATCTACTCAGATCAATAACATCTTATCATGTTTTACACACAAAGCAAAATTTCCACAAATTAGAAAGAATTTACCATACACACTTAGAAATAACTAATTTTACACGAGACGGAATCAATCTTTGACATAAAGTATGAAAAGTAAACACAAATTTCATGTAAAAATAAGGTCTCCGATAATGAAAAGTTCGATACTCGACGAAAACTACGTTTGATTGACTTGAATTTCGCGTCTGTTATGACTCAAATTTATGTCAAACTTGACGCTCGTATATGTCAGTCTCCGAGCATCTAAAATTACATCAATTTTTCTAAGTGTGTATGCAATATTCAAATGATGTTATATGAAAATGCCTGCAGTTGCCCGTTGAACTGTGGTCGTTACTTTACCCAACAAGGTCTACACTAATCACTGTAAAAAAATTGGCTGCTACTTTTTGCTATATTTTGAGTAATTGACATTTTTATGCATCCCTTTTTTGAGACATTTATGTAATTAACTATATAATAAAGCATGGTATATAAAATAATGAGTATTTATTGGATGAGTCAAACCATTTAGTTAATTATCAGAGTATAAAACTTATACATTGACGTATATAGGTGAAAAAAAGGAAAAAATGCAATTTTAGAGGTTAGTTTTCCTAATTGCCCAATATCTCGCTAAATGTGAGTCATAGAGTTTTGATGTCTTGGACAACATTTCTCAACACTTCAAATTACACAACTTTGCCCAAAAAACCATTCGGCTAGGATGCTCCGTTCAAAAGATGACTCGAGCGCCACCTATGTGGCGTAAAAATGAACTAATATGAAACTTTCAAAAGATGGCGCTTTTAGTATTGAGCAACTTTGTAGAACATTGTATCGCTGTAGAAAGCAAACCAACGGCGCTAGAGGTTTTGGCCACGCGAATGGCTTCGCTGCCCCACTGTGCGGCGGCAACATACATCGAATGGATTGTTTTGTTCGATGAGGGTTGCGATGCAAAGGTTGCCGAAAGAAATCAGTGTGCCGGGTTGGTCTTGGAGGGGCGTTGGTTTGAAGTTTGCTCTGCAGAACCGGATAGACTACGTTATTGTTCAAGATGTCAACAACAAAAAGACGATGCAGTAATACCATAGAGCTAACTCTAAGACTAGAAGGTCCCGAAGAAACGTGCTCAACTTTTCGACTCAGCTCTGGTACGCTCTTTGGTCCCAAGCTAATCGATGCACTCCTCGAAACATAGGAAAATCCCCGAACCCCTCATTTTATCTGTAAACTTTCATAGCGAATCAAAACAAATATTGTGTAGTACTAGAATTTTGACGAGAATGGGGTACGTTAATCGATTTGCTTGGGTAAATAGGCTAGTCAAGTAGTGAGCCAATTTAAAATCGTTAGTTTCCACCGGTTGGTAATATTCTCTTATTTGCCAAAGAGGACATGTATACTAGAGCGCATCGTTCATAAGGTGGTAGACGTACAGGTCCATTCGCAGCATATATTGAATTCCTTCGATCCGGTTACTCTGAATAGAATGGTAGGTTGCCCACTAGACTGATATGAAATTTGAACTTTTCGCCCCACAGTACTTAGGCGGTTTCAAAACGGATCCAGATTAGCCTCCCAAAATTTGAACTCATTTAGCCAGAAACTGACTTAGCACATACCATTTGTTGTTTATATGGAAGTTACTACGGGATAGCCAATTTTTTGTTCATATCTATCTAACAAATCACCACAGCGTGCTTGTAGGTAATTTTCTCAGCTACAACTTTGCTCAATAAAACACTTTTCGATAAAATGTCAGGAACATCACCTACTACTGATTCAAGACGCGGGTGTCGCGGGATTTACGTGAAATATCACGTAACCGATCTGTATTAAGAAAATCTCAAATGTTACGTGACGTTAGTAACTTTGACCTGCATTGCACGTCATATCCACTAAAAATTTTGGTGAAATCGACCGTATATTCACACAAATTTAGTGTATTTGTGTGTTTGGGACTTCGATATTTCCACGAAACGAGATTTATGTGATTTTCAGTTACGCAGAAAAAGTCAATTCTCTATGAAGTTCTCCGTTTTTTGTTTGTGAAGCTCTTCGAAACATCTTTTAACACATTCAAAGAAATTTGAAACAGAGTTCCATTGGTGTTTCAAAATCGCTCAGAAATAAAACAGAATAGTCGCACAGTTGCAAATCTGGTGCAAAATAGTGCTCGAATAATGAAATTGCAACTCAGCATTGCGAGAGGTGCGTTTCTGTTCTAGTTTCAAATTGAAGCAGTCCTTATAAAATACAACAGCATTGCAAACGGCCTTATAAGGACTGTTTCAATTGACCACTTTGTCAAGCAGTTTTGGTGTGACTTTCTACCAGCGATTTCACAAAACTGGACCAACTAATTTCTATTTTTTTATGAAACGCACACATTTTGGCTACTTTTCTTGTGGTTCTAGTAGAAAAATTCTCAAAATAATGTTTCATTTCAAAGTTCGAGTGGTAGTAAACGTCATTTGAAGTGGTTAATTTGAAACTAGAACAGAAACGCACCTCTCGCAATGCTGAGTTTCAGTTTCATTATTCGAGCACTATTTTGCACCAGATTTGCAACTGCTCGACTATTCTGTTTTATTTCTGAGCGAGTTTGAAACACGAATGGAACTCTGTTTCATATTTCTTTTCTTTGGATGTGTTTAAAGATGTTTCGAAGAGCTTCACAAACAAAACACGGAGAACTTCATAGAGAACAGTAAAGTTTATGGAACTTGATGATAACAAACATCTTTTAGAACTGTGGGTTGCGCTGATTGTGTTGCAGTTTTATTTTTGACAGTTTCAAATTATAGAATTGTCGAGTAGTTTAAAACAATTTTGAAACTCAGCATTGCGAACGGCCTAAGATTATCAATCTTTTAAACATTTAACCACTTCATTCGAGCAGTTGAAATGACGTTTACTACTACTCGAACTTTGAAATAAAACATTATTTTGAGACTTTTTCTTCTAGAACCACGAGAAAAGTAGCCAAAATTTGTGCGTTTCATAAACAAATAGAAAATAGTTGGTCCAGTTTTG